TACCACCCAAAGTATATAACTATACTTCTTTTCTCGCACAAGGCGGTAAAAGTGACTTCGTTTACTGCTTCTCGGTAGCGAGAAATCAGAAGAAAAAGGAAGAAGGGAACGAGAAAGAAGGGTGATGAGAGAGAGAGAGAGAGAGAGAGAGAGAGAGAGAGAGAGAGAGAAAGAAGAGGAGTGAACACGTCTGAATGACGTAACGAAGTACACAACATGCGTGGCTAACGTTTTATTATTTTTTATGTATATGTAACGAGAAAGAGAGAACGATATTTGAAAATATTTCATTTGATACTGTAGTCTTATCTCTTCAAAACATACGTCTTGGTCGCTCGATAACGGTGAGTAAACTAATTTATGAACGTGAAGCAATAGCTGGATGATCGGTTCGGATAGTAGGTAATATATGTAAGATTTATAGGAAAAGCGCAATCTCAAATCGATATGTTCGTATCTGGTACACGGTTTCTGGTCGTTCGATAGAGAGTATAAAAAATTCTATTAACTACATCGTGCTTTTAGCCGTAAAAATGGATATCCCGATGGGTAGTAAAACGTTTATTGGTAAACGTCCGTTGACGCTGTAAATCAGATAACAAAAGGAGTCTTTTCGGTGTAATAGGTAGGTAGATGTATCCTTTCGAGGTCGCTTAAAATATCAATAAAAAGTCAGGACTATTCCTCGGACGTTTTTTTTTTTGTAAAGTATTGAGTATAGCGAAGTATTATAAATCAGCATAGCCGGATTATCGAGTTTAGCCATTACGGTTAACCGTCAAAGAGCAACGAGAGAAAATATATACATATACATAAATATGTATAAATATAAATCGAGGGAACGAGGCAAGTGCCGGCACATTTTTGAATCGTTCCCGTACATTCCACATATTTTGTAGGAGCTCCAACAACTTCTTTGATCTCTTGATTGCACGGAACGTGGAACACGTGGTAACAGGAAGAAGGTGTCCCTCGAGTTCATGGAGATATTTACGCGCTGTCCGCGTACTCGTAAATGTCGTCGCGATCTTTTCTTTCCCCCTCCCCTCTCTCTCTATCTCTCCCTTTCTCTCCCTCTTTCTGTCCTTATTTCAAAGTAGAAGCAATGACGTGGCGCTAAAGCAAACTCGACGAGCTTTAATGATGAATAATTAATTTACACATTGTCAGATGGGTTGCGTTTGTCCTCAGGAATATAATGTACAGTTATTTATCATGTAAAAATTTCAATCGTGTCCCCTTTCTCGTTTACTGATCGTTTTCTCTTGGTAATTCGAACACTCGTTTCCGCGTGATTTGGTATGACCAACACACGAAGGTTATTTCCATGAATCAAGTAGCGAATTCTCAATCTTCCGAGCGAAAGGTACTAGTTTCCTCGAGGGAAACCGCTGATTTGTGGCCTCCTCGCAAATCGATGTTGCTTTAATACTTGGAACTATAAGGCGCCATGAAAGTCGAGCTACCGAGTGGATAATAGGAAAGCTATTGTGGTTTTCGAAAACGAGCTTCTTTCTTTGCGTGCACTCATCGACAATTTTACATATCGTGATCTCTCGTCTCTCTATCTCTCTCTGCCTCTTGAAAGAAAGAAAAGCACGTTCCAATATCGATGATCTCGATCTGTCGCCTTGGATTGATTAAATAACATTTTGTTTAGCGAGCACGTCGATCATAAGTAGTTATTCGACAACGAACGTCTAATCGAATTTGCATACCATTCGCATATAATAGCTGTCGAATAAGAGTTAGTTGCTAGACGATATGACCTAATATTTTAATAAATCAACAAAATGAGTGATAGGTAGTTGTATGAATAGTATTAGTCGCAATCGGATTACAAGTTGTAAGAATAACGATGAATTATCGATTGCGTTCATATCGGATCGATGTCCTTTCAAAGTGCCATAGTAAATACTCTACTGTATTAAAGGAGTAAAATCTCCTTAGAACGTCCACGAGGTATTTATCTATGCAAATCGAAGTTCGAAAGATCGAAAGATCATGGTATACTGCTTCTCTTACATAAACAGGCGCTGGATAAGTGATGCAAGGCTAATAGTATGCGGAGGTCGATCCTCTACAACGTAATGAATGGCGATACTAGCGTGGTAAGAATTTTCTAAATCCCTCAAGCGACTTAGCGATATAAAGGCTACCGCAATGACGTATCTAGATCCTTTGCTACCAAGCGCATTTTCAGGCAGGGTAATTCTGGTAAAATGACGAATGAGCCTCAAGCGTAGTTATCGTTTATTCAGACAAAGTAACAGAGTCAGAGAAAAAGAGAAATAGAAATAGAAAGAGAGGTTGCTTTGGTACTTAGCCAACTTGCTATTCATTAAGTTTTTTCTCTTTTCTCCCTCACATTCGAAAAGCACTGCGTGATATTACTATTTCAACTGAAAAGTCGACTTTTTCGAATCTCCTTGTTACGAGATCCAACTTTAAAAATATCTTTTGACTTCATACATGAACCACCTTCTTTCGTTCTCTCTCTCTCTCTCTCTTTCTGTAAGTTTGTCTTTTTTTTTTTTAATCAAACGATATCCACATTTCGAAGAGAGAAGTATTTAAGTATGATTCGTTACGCGGTACAAGACAAAGCGAAGGACGCAAGATGGTCAGCTTGTTAAGCGCTCAGTCAGCGCTTTCGAAATCGTCATTGCAACGCGAACGAGCCGCCAGTTCCTCGTTTAACGACATGATGCTCGGTTTATACCATGTCCTGTGTATGTCGTCTGGATTCTCCGAAAATACAGTGCTTTCGTGATATGCCTCATACATAAATAAATACGCCGTTAGGTAACGTGTTCCATATGTGTAATAATTGCAATCGATTCTCGTTCGGTGAAAAATAATATTTTTATATTTTTTCAAAGTTTGTACAAAGAAAAAAAAAAGAAGAAAAAAAATAAAAGAGCGATGAATTAATAAAAAAATTGTCGCGAAGGTAAATGTAATCCGTAGAAAACGTGGAAATAGGGAAAGAAGAGAGTTCGATAAAAGCGTCGGAGCGAAACGCAATCCATGCGTTGAAGTCTCCAAAGGCGAGAGTACTTTTCGCACAACCTTCGTCGTTCTTCGATAAAATCTCAGAAGAAAAATCTCATCTATTAAGACATCTACGTTTATTTTTACCGACTGAGAAGATGATTATTTCACTATAGGCAACGATCGTTAGATTCAATTCCTTTTAAACAGCTTGTGAAAAAGATAAAAAGAGAGAGAAAGAGAGAGGAGTGAATGAAAAAAAATAAATAATAAAAAAGACAAAATATTGAAAGAGAGGTATATGGGACGAGCTCGATCCAACGAGTTATTTCAACAATCTTATTAAACGCACTTTACGTAGTGTGCCTACAAAGGGAGTCTCCTTCGAAGACACGACGAGGTAGTAAACGTCAGCCTCTATCCGCGGAGAGTCGAGTCTCTTCCATGATCATCACGGAAACAGATTTATGATAATCAAGGAGGCACTCGCTTTCAGCTCTCTACCATCTCGCTCTTTCTTCCCTTGACAGCTTTTTTAAAACGAAATTTCGATTTCCTCGTAAGAGAACGAGATTTACAACCTCGTTTCTTCGGACATACTTTTTTTCACCCTATCTTCTATATGTCTCTGTCTTTCTTTCTTTCTTTCTTTCTTTCTTTCTTTCTCTCCTTTCTTATTTCGTTCGTTTAGTTCACGATTCTCCCTTTTCTTCCCTTTGCTTTTCCTTTTTTTATTCGTCGTCGTCGCGTTCGTTGAGAGGGCAGAGGAGAAGGAACTTTGCTGGTTTCTTTTTTCTTCTCTTTAGTTTTCTTTTTTTTTTTTCTTTTTTTAACTGCGCTCTTCTTATACGAGGTCCACGGGAAAGACGGCAGCCGCGTTACTCCTTTGCGAAATGGGTTTTCGTGGCTACGCACGCGAACAACCACGAATGATTTTATTTTTGCATAACCGTAAGTAAAGCGTGCACTATTTTCTGTCGATCGTTAATGTCAAAAGTACAATTGGATGGAATTCGAGATGAGGAGAAATGAAATTTGAATCTTTCGTATTTGCTTCTCTTTCTTCTTCTCTCTCTCTCTCTTTCTTCCCCCCCCCTCCATGTTCCTATCTCGTATTTCCTTTGAATAAGTAGATTTTTATTAAAAGACGTCATGTCATATTGACGACGTTAATTCTCGATTTAAATAGAAGGGAAAAAAGCATTATGTAAATCCCTTTTCATCGTACGAAAGAGTTCGTTAATATAACAAGAAGATTCGAGACGAGATGCTGGTCGTAACATCATTTCGATGAAACTTATTGAACGCTTACGCAACACGGATGACATAGAACGATAGGAAGACGTTGAGAATAATCAATTGAGGATTCGTGCCACTTTCAAGGATTATTATTAGGATGGGGAATGAAATCGAATAGGAATAAGTTACAAGAAAAGAGGATAATACTTCTCATAAAAACGTCAGTATCTGCTTTTTCTCGCTTTTTACATTGCCTTGTCCAGGACAATTTGGACGAGGGCGTGTCGTAAGGCGTGCGAACGTTACGGCCAGTCTCCTGTAATTTTGGCAGTCGTAATGCCTTAGCCGCGCGATAAAACTTGGTACAGAAGGAAGGAACAAGAGTAAGAAGAAAAATAAAAAGAAAGAGAAAGATAAACGGTCGTTATTCAAAACAACGACGGTCGTTCCATCGTGAGAAATCGATTCGCCGGCAAACGCTCCAGCAGTGTACGACGACTTTAAACGCTTTGGCACGCGTGCCAACGGCGATATACTTTACGTTTGCACGACTTTTCCAAGATAATGAATGGTAAGATGAAGACTGAAACATAGCACGATAGTTCTAGTTCCAGAGATATTCCAGACAGACATTCATTTTATAGAGAAAATTCTTCATTCAAATGATATTCAAAAATTATCAAATCCACTGGTGGAGAACCGCTTTTTATATAACAATAAATATTCATTGAGAACGTTATATAAGAAATTGAAAAACGCGCACTTACATCGAGTTCGTGGTGTTCCAATACAAGCTGATCGCCTTCGCACAGTTGCTCACGGTTGATAGTAAAACCGTTTGTAGGCACACGAGGAACACCAGGGTCATAAGTGACTTGGAAACCATCGTAAAAACGTGGACGAGGACGAGCACCGTCAGTACGGGCACTTGGACTCAATAATGAGAACAATGAAAAAACGATAACAACAACAATAACAGCAAGAGGAACGAGAACACTTGCACTTTCGTCGGCGTCGTCGTCGTTGGTGTCGTCCACAACCACCTTCCACTAATTCGTCGCACGGCCACCACATCCACTTTATCACTTAAACTTTTCTATCAGCGAGTTGCCTCTCCTTAATCCTTTTCGAATGCACCCAATATTATGATTTATCTTAGAGAAAAATCGAAGATACAGCGATGATCTGTTACGATAAATCCACGGCGATCGATGATCTACGAAATTAACAATGATAGTTAATTTGCGCTATCGACTAAATCAAACTCGATCGTTTCCAGACTCCGTTCGGTTCTTTTCAAAGTTGTCCAGCGGCGAAGTATACCTTGTCCCATGGATCCATCCCGTGCTTCTCTCGCCTAGAGTGTATCTTGCCAGACCTCTCATTGGTCCAGCTTTTTCCAGGAGTTTTCTCTCGAGAAAATCACGGTGCTTGGAGGTTCGAGACGTTCCGCATATCAACGGCGCACCGTCGGCCGTCGATCTTCGACCTACGCGCGTTCTCTCTCACCGTACACCTTACACTAACGGCTAGGGAGAAGAGTAAGTTCTTCGAACCGACTCTTCTTTGAAGATCGTTCTTCGAGCCGAACGAATCAAAGTAGATGTATCACGAAGACCGTAAAAATCCCAATATTGCGATGTGGAATATAACTCTAAAGGAGTAAACCTTGAAGAACAATATATAGGCGATGAAAATATTTTCAAAAACGTATTATTTCCAACAATTTTTTACTTCGATAACTTATTTTTATCCACCTGTTTTCACTGAGAACAAAGAAACACTGAATCCGCAGATTTCAAAGATAACTTCGATATCGATGATAGATCGCAAGAACACTATTGATCTCTCACTGATTTTATTTCGAAAAAAAGAGTTTTCAAATCACATTATCATTTTTTCAAAAGAGTAGAAAAACTCTATGTGAAATTGACAAAAGTATTGGGTATCGAATGAACCAACGTTATTATAGGCCGTAGTTAGGTCGAACAGTGCCGTCATTCGAAAGACTTTCTGCGCGCGAAGAGAAAACGGTACTTTCCTGCTTGGTGTCGCGGACGCGTCTGTCGGCCCGAGCCGAGCCGTCGCGGCCGTTCGTCTCGCGTCAGCAGTCTCGTGCGGCGGCGGCGGCGGCGGTTACGGCGGCAAGCGGCCGAGGGTGTCGAACGCTGCCGAACTTATCCGAAGACTGTCGAACACGCAGGAGAACTCATCCCGCGTCATTCCTCCTTCAGCTCTTCCAGAGATACACGGTATTACGCTCTCTGCTCGCGAGACGCGCATTTCCGAGTGGCCTTTTCTCTCTCTCTCTCTCTCTCTCTTTTTGTTTCTCTCTCCGTGTCATTCCATTTACCATCGAAGAAAACGTGTCTTACCTCTTTCTTCTTTTTTTCTTCTCTTTCTATGAAATCTTCTCTCCGATAACCTTCTTCTCGTCAACATATTTTTTTTCTCCCCTAAAGACCCGTAAACAACAACGCCTGCTAATATTTATTTTTATTTTTCAATAATAATTTACTTTTTTTTTTCTTAGAAGACCAAGAAATATTTTCAATTCTAATTTTGTAAGCTCTTGGAATGTTTATATATTTTCGAATATTACAAGAACTCGATAAATGAATGTTAGTCACATCCATTGACGCGTTCTCCACAAAATATAAACATTCACCAATCACGATCCCTTCTAGCGATACTATTAACGAATTATTAGACAACGTTCTTCATCCAGTGATCCTTCATGTTGTTTCGTAGGCTTTTAAGAGAACGAGAGTGCTTTCTTGACTTACGATCGGCGCTAAGACTCATTTCCTGCTTCAATTTCGTTTCACTTTTTCTCCCCTTTGTCGCAGACGCCTAACCATTTTCCAGATAGAGAGTAAAAGAGAGAGAGAGAGAGAGAGAGAGGGGGAGAGAGAGTGAACAAGAAGAAACGATATATACAGAGGAAAATATCTTTCCCCGTTCTTAACTAGAGCGTGCGTGTGCTGAGAAGTGTCTACATATATTTATCGCGAGTGATGCTCCGAGCCGAGAGAAAGAGAAGAGATGGATCGAAAAGGAAAGGAGGAAACAGAAATATAACTGAATATACAGATGTATACATGTGCATATATCTATATGTATATATATGTATATATATATATATTTCTGAAGATGCACTTGGGTATGTGGCGCCCTCGTGTATAAGAGGAAAAGAGAGAGGAAAGGATAAGAGAAGGAGAGGATCATCATCCTTCACGTTGCTCTCTCCTGCACAACGATCTCGGGGGCATACTCCTTCGCTCTCTTGGATCTCAAGAACCGGTATCTACCCACGGACAGTCATGTCGGTCATTAGTCCGACTAATGCAACGCTTCGAATTCTATCGGTCTACGGCGCCAGAACGTTCATTTCCTTCCCTCGCATCTTCTTTTTTCAACTTGTAAGATGGACCAGAAAATATAATAGAAATTTCAAATACGTCTAACGTTATAGTCAATTTTCAAACGAACTCAAAGGTTAGCTTTCAAGTATGAAATAGAGCGAAAACGAAGGCGGACGCTTCGGATCGTCGAGCACGCAAATTCGCTCTGATTTTCTTTTGCTTCCTCCTCTCTAAGCGATCACTTGTCTCTTTCTCTCTCTCTCTATATATTTCTTTCTTTCTTTTTGTTTTGTCTTTTATTAAAGAACGAGAGAAGAATAGAACAATAGGATAGGATTACGAGAAGGTAGAAAGAACACGGACACGGCGAATCGATTATTTGTCCGTCCGCGAGCCTTGATTTTTCACTCGTCACGGGCCATTAGACGATGGTATTTCATCGCTCCTATCTCGATCTTTCTAGATCTCCTACACCCTCCACCCGTCGATATCCGCGATCTTTGAAAAATCTCGAGAACGCCTTCTTTTGAAAATGATTTTCGTCTAATGTCGATTTGGGGAAAATTTAATAGATTCGGAAGATGTGAATAAAATGAGCTTAGAAGGGGGAGATTAGAATGTTGTTTGGTTGAAGATGCTCGTATAAGATCTTTAAATCGTTCTCAAACAAACTCATAGTGAGGTCTTTGATCGTTGACTTTCAATCCGTTTGTTACACATCCCCAAAAAGTCAGAGAGTTCTTTCTTTCATTCTTTCCTTCGGCAAGTTAAACGACTAACAACGCCTGATACACAATGGATAGTATTAAACGAATGTAAGGTAGTAGGTAAAGCGGTGTGCTCTGACCAGAAATGCATTTAAGTATCTCGAGTAATGCTTCACGAAAGGAAAGTGCTCGGCAAATATTGATTCATGCGGTTCTTACGCACTTCTACCACGAGACTACTCGGGGGGAAAAAAAAGAGATAAAAAAGGAAGCGTTTGGGTTCGATGGAAGGGACGAAGGAAGAAAGGCCAAAATCCTATGTACACGCACGAGCTGTGGGGCTGAGAGGAGCAGCTTTCACCACCGAAGACTCTCAAGAGGATTCTCTTTGCTACCGGCGCTGTCCGTTTCGAGCAGGTGAGACGACTTTGAAAATGGCATTCTGAGCTTCTCGCGAAAAGCCGCGCTACGTTATAACAGTTCTCTCTTTCTTTGTGTACATTACGCTCGAGTTTGCGTTTGTTTTGGTCAGAATGGTCTAAAGAAGTGATTCACGTTCGAAGAAACCTGCTATGACTTAATAACCGTGTAGCGGTTTAGAAAGAACTTGGAACGGTTTTGAGGATACCTAAGATATATGGTTATATTATACGTTTAACAATATGTACTTATGTCTACAAGGATTTGAAAGTTAACCGCTAACAACGCTTAGGAAAATAAAGGCGAGTCTTCTTATTTCGAATGATTCTAATTTGTTCTACCTTTCCGGTAAATTTTTGTTAGAGGTACATGGATGACACATTGATTTCTATGAAAGAATTTTTTTTTATTGAAAAACCTGTCATAGCGTTCTCATGAGCTGCTAGGCATCCTTCTCTCACATATAAGCGAGTCTTTTATTCGTCCCAAAAGAATTATCATATTTTTATATTTTGGAGGACTCGAAGGGGTTACGCTTAATTTACGAAGAAGCACGACCCTTGGTCATACATTGTAAAATTCTTAACGGCCATCTATCATCGTTATTTATCGGCATTCGCCAAATTCGTGGTGTCGGATAAGTAAGTATATGCGTGTATATATACATACGCACTTATACATATAGGCATAATATGTATATATGTTTGTATCTATCTACATGCACATGCTATATATAGATACATACATAGATAGAGATACCTACATACGTGATTACGTGGCAGTCGCGCTCCTTTCCATCCTCCAATCCATTTCGCTTCATTACCGACGCGGATCCACCGTCGAGGAGGTTTCTCTTGACCTCTGCCTTGAACTATGATTGGACACGTTACATCGATCCACGTCGATCCTGATTCGAGCCATCGTTCGCACGTAAACGCTCGCGTCAGTGAATATCTCACCTTCGTCAAAGCTGCGGACGATATCGCTCATCGACGTTTCTCCTCTTGCCGGCAGATTACTACGAGCGAAAGAACTCGACGAGTTGCGTGCGAGGAGAGAAAGAGAAAGAAACGAAAAGAGAGGGAGAGAGAGAAATCGATCGATCGATCGTCCGATCGTGCATTAACCGAATGCTTCGCACCTGCGTACTCTTCATTTAGGTGAGAAAAGTAAGGACGAAGGACTCGTAGCGATTCATAGAGTGCGTGCGCGAGCGCGCACGGTGATTCGATTCTCGAAAGATCGAGAGAGGATCCATTAGCCATTAGCCAACGTTTATGCCAGTCAAAGTGTCCGATGGAGAACAATGGAGAACCTAGAATAGAAATCGATTTTACGCCTTTCCTTCTGTCTGTCTGTCTGTCTCTCTCTCTCTCTTTCTCTCTCTCTCTCTCTTCCTCTCTATCTCTCTTTTTCCTGTTGCTTGGCTTTCAAGGCGCGTGCTTTAGTCTTAGCTATTTTTTTCACCCTTCTACACATTAGGCACCGATTCTTGCTACGGGTACGTATTTAATTTGTTAAATCGCGCTCCACCCTCATTGGCATCCGACCTTTGTGATGGTCCTCCAATGGCGTGGCACTCGTTTGATCATCAAAAAGGAAGAATTTTTCTTAGACAATATTGTCTATGTAAAAACCTTAATTTTTTTTTATATTAAAAAATGTGTAATCGATTTATCGTATAAAATTGTGATAATATTCGAGAGAGACCAAGTTAATCGGAATCAAAGTAGCAAAGATGAAAAATTATTGCTGTCCTACGCCACTGTTTGCATCCAACGATTCGACACACGGACGATCTTTAGGCGCCAAGACAATGGTCCTTCCCTTTGTCCTTTATTGTTTCGGCAACGACGACGACGACCACGACGATGAGGACGATGAGGACGAGAACGAGGACGAACGGAATTTTAAAAGAGCGACCATTATTATACTTCCATTCAAAGATGCCAACCTTGTTCTCTCTTTCGAACCCTTCCCCTAATAATCGAACAAGCCTGGAGACACCTGCGTGAAATCGAAGAGAGTCGAACGCGTGAAAAATTTCTTCGGCTTCTCACGGCGAACGAACCTAAAGGAAAAAGAAGAGGGTTATTGGGGAGAATCGCGCTTGTACGTCATCGATGGCGATAGGTCACCGTTACTAACCCTTCACCTCTTTTCTTTTTCTCTTTCGTAGGTATACGTAAATACTATTCCTTTTTTATGTGTGAAAATTCATTAGATAATATTTGTTATGAATATTTTTCTTATTTTCATTCGTTAAAAAAAAGATAAACTCTTTTAGAAATCTGACGAATAATAGAAAATACGTGTGTGGCCCACGTAATCGTGATTAAAATGGGTAGGAAACATAATGAACTTGCGTTTGGAATAGCTTGTATTATTGTGAAGAAGTTAGTCTTTCCTTCTAGCACGCACATATGTATATTACATAGATGTTCCATGTAGTTAAAAGAAGAAAAAGAAGTAAAAGAAGAAGGAAAGAGAAAGAAGTAGAGAGACGTGGACATAGAAAAGAACACAATAGCAAGTGGTATTCTATTATTCCATGCGTT